TGCTGCTGCTGCGTCACAGATCTGGGCCCAGGGCCCCGAGAATGTGCCTCTTACACAGCCCTGAGTGAAACCCACTGCGTCACACACAGAAATCCACGTCCTCCAAGTCTGTGTGTGTGACAATGGGGCCTGCGGCCTGCAGAACCCCAAACACGCTATGTGGTGCCCTCAGACTGCACCAATCCCCGCTGGGGCTGCCCTGCACCATCCTAAGTGTGCACACCGCACTATCGTGTTGCACACTCATTTATAATAATGCGCAGGGCACCTCCTAGTATTCTAGAGCGTTCTGCAAGCAAGCATGTTATATCGTTTACATCTTAAAATAGCCAACAGGCAGGGAGCGCTGCACTGCTGTCCCCAGAAGCCCTGTCTGCCGGCCCAGCCCTCCAAGGGACACTCACTGCAGCCAGATTTTGTGCACACCAGCGACGGTGTGCACAGCGTTTGCAGGGCCAAGCCCCGTGCATTTACACACAGGTCAGCGTACACCCAAGCCCGGCACCCGCCCAGCTTCGGACCCTAACGTCCTGCCCCACCCCCGCGCCCCAGGGCGAGCAATGAAGTTTCCGGTCCAGCGGCGCTTCCCTTCCTACAGAACCCCCCAACTCGCACTTCCCCGCTGCCCCGCGCCCCATCGGTCCAGCCCAGGCACCCTACCCGCACGCCCTGTGGGACCTGGCCCCAGGGGGCTGGGGGCGGCGCTAATGCGGAGCAGGGGCGGCGGCAGGGCGGCTGCCCTCGCGGTGGGTGGTCGGCGGCCGGCGTGCACCACCTCAGCGGGATCTGGTTCCGCGCTCGGGTTACGGCGCGCTCGCGCCCGGCGGCTTCACTTAAGCAATTAGCCAGTGAAAATACCTTGGGCCTGGGGAGTGGACGCGTCGCGGGCAGGCATGGCTCTGTTTCCAGGGTTGGCGATGCCTCGGGCTGGCGCTGGAGCACAGATCTGACTTGGGACGGGAAGGGTGTCTGTGGATTTTAAGCTAAGAGCAGAGTTTTCTCCCCGAGCTGAGCCCCCAGGTCTTGGTTTCTGTTTGAATAGGCAGCCCCACCTCAGTGCTGCCCACCCTCCCCTCAGCCCTAAGACCGGCCAGCACCATGCGTTCCACTTTCAGAGGAAGACCGGAAGCTTGGGAGAACCCCGAGGGGTGGGGCGGACTGAATCCCCATCCACACTGGGAGGCTGGGGTCCGGGGTCTCCCTGCTGCTATCCTGGTGGCCGGGTGTGGGGGTTCAGCTCCCTGGTCCAGTCTGGACCCTGGCCCTGGGGGATCACCGAGGCAACCTCACTGAGCCCCATCTACACAGGAGAGGAGGGTGCTGACTTGCAGGGATTTCTGGGAAAGGAAACTATGGCAGGGCACTTAGGAGCCCTGCGTTTCTGCGTTCCTGTGTGTGGGGTGTAGCTTATGAATGGGTTCCAAGCACTCAGTGAAACCTCAAAGAAAACTCTGATAGAGATGTCACAGGTATGAGCCTTGAGGGTGTGCAGGCAGCCAGCAGTTACCCACATTATCAAGTCAGCCACATTATCAAAGGGGTTCACAGCCAAGACAGACGTGAAGGACCTGTGGGGGCCGCTAATAGGGCAATGGGCAGAGTGGCACAGACAGAGCTGACAGGTCCTCTTCCTGTCCTGGTCTGTGCAGTGCTGACCATCCTAACACCCTGTCCTTCCAGGGGTCTCTACCCCGAGCCTGGGAAGCCTTTTGAAAGCCCACTCTCTCCTCTCCGGCCCACAGGGAGGCAGCGGGGGCTGAGAGGCCACGACCTTCTGTCCTTGGGTGGACAGGAAGGCTGGGGGATGGCTGCAGGCAGCCCAGGCCCACCGACTGGGGCCAGCCAGGGCCAGGTCCCCGGAGCTCAGCTTCGTCACCCCAAAACTGCCTGGTTAGGGAAACCTCTCCGCACCTGGAGAACCAAGAGCTGGGTCCTCGATCACAGAAAAGTATCCTCGCTATGGCTTGCTTTTCTCCGGCCCTCTCAGGACCCCACTTTCTCCCACCCCAGCAGAGAGAAGGATTTGGGGAGTGCCTGGCCCGGGTATTCTGGGACCCTAGGCTGTCCCCCCACCTCGAGGCCTTGACCGCTCTGTTCTAGGCAGTCTGCTGCACTGTTCAGACCTGGACAGCAAGCCAGACGATGCCCTCCCCCACCACACTGCTCCCCCAAAGGCAGCCGTCTCTCACCCCAAAACATAAGATGCCTCCCCATGGAAGCCTGTGAAGGACAAAGTGGGGGGAAGGGAAAACTGGTGAGCCCGGAAAGGAATCCGCAGCCTCCTAAATCGAACAGGGCGTATGCTGAAAGGCAGCTGCTAGAAAAAGGCTCCCCAGTTTCATGTTCTATAGATCCCCTCCCTTTGGAGGGGCCCCCACGAGTGGGGGCGCAGGAAGGGAAAAAGAAGAAGTCCACTTTCAAGGAGACAGCTCGCTGCTGTGGTACAGGCCAGAAGTGCAGCTGCTCCTCAGGGGAACTTCCTTCCCTGGGGGAGCCGAGCGGGGAGAATATGGAACGCGCGTGTGCCACTGGGTGTGTGTGCCAGTGAGTGTGTGTGTGTGCGTCGGGCTGTGCGTGGGAGCGCGCGGCGGAGAGCGGTAGGCCTGCGCGTGGGCCAGGGTTGGGGTTGAGCTGTGCCCCTCAGGGCGCTCCAGTAAAGCACCGAGGTCGCGGTGCAGACGCGGCCGTGTGAGGTGGGCCGGGTGCGGGGCGCCTGCCTCCTCTAGTACCCAAGCGCACCTCGGCGTCTCGCCCACACTCGCTCTTTCTCCACCCGGCCAAGGTGTCAGCCCCGCCTGGCCGAAAGCTCAGGGCGGATGGAGACTTTGGTCTCCCGCGAGCTCCGCTCTGCTAGGAGAGGTGGCGACAACAGGGCAGGCCAAGCTCCCAGCTCCTCGCAGGGACCTGCCAGGCGCCCCAAGGGCGACCAGGCGTCTCCCGCCAGCGGTGAAGGCACGGGAGGGGGTGGCCAGCGGGCAACGAAGAGTCGGGAGAAGCCCCGGGGGCCAGGGAGCTTTGAAGAAGCCGAAAGTCCGGCTGAGAGCCCGCACAAGCCTCTTATCCCCGCTCTGGCCAGGGCATGGCCGCTTGGCTCCTCGCGATGACCCGTGAAAACACCCCTCGCCCCTGCTCTCCACCCGGGACCCTGGTGCGCGAGGCTAGGCCCCGGCGCGCGGCACTCCGCACCGTAGCCACACTCACCGCGTTTGTGCGCACCGCGTCGCGCCGGCTCCCGCGCGGTCCTGCGCTGCGCTGCACGCCGCCTTCCACCGCCACGGAGCCTGCTCGCAC